TTTTAAAAAGATGCCTTCTGGACATTTCCTTTCACACCTTTGTTCTTCAGTTGCCTTGCATGTCCCCAGGCTCTATTATTTTTTCGCTACAATGGATAACAATACCTGCTCCATTATGTGTTACAGAACACCAAAGGCCTGCTTCATCTAGATGGACAAGGAACTTTCTATGGGCGTTTGAGCTGCAAAGCTGCTTGTTTTTTCCTTAGGTAACTCCATCCTCCAGGGCAGCAGCAGGCTTAAATGAAAAAGGACATGATGTCCTTTCAAATGTAAATTACCTATGTTTGTGTTTTAGAATTAAAAAAAGGAGGAGGGAATAACCCACTTGGCACTCAAGGAAGGTACTCCAGATACCCTGTCAGCAGGAGAGTGCAATCTCCTTCTTCTGTAATTAGGACTGTTACTTTCCCTTTGGTTTGACATACATTAACTGTGTGTGCTGGAGTGTTTGTTGTGACTGAGGCTGTGTGCACACTTTACCGTTGTTAGCACAAAGATGTACAGCAGGTCTCTCAGTATAGAATTGTGCACAGTTGTCCTCAGGATGCTGTTTTTATCCAGACTGATTCTAGAGGCTGCTGGGTGTGGGTACTTGATAACACTCTTGGAAACCCTCCTCTTAGTTAGGTTTCCTCCCCACACATGCCCCAGGTGAGTGAACAAGGAAGTGGAGATATTGGTATACACCCACCCACAATGTGGTTGGGCAGATGCTGTAACACACAGTTCAGCTGCATGGAAACCCAACAGCTGTGAATTAGAGCCCTGGCATCTCCTGGCCGCTGATGAGGGCATCTGGAGAAGGCCGTCCAACCATGCTCTTGGCTTCTGGGCAGGTTCATGCAGGAGCTGGCCATCTTTCAGGTAAAGGTAAAGGGACCCCTGACCATTAGGTCCAGTCGTAGCCGACTCTGGGGTTGTGGCGCTCATCTCGCTTTACTGGCCGAGGGAGCCGGTGTACAGCTTCCAGGTCATGTGGCCAGCATGACTAAGCCGCTTCTGGCGAACCAGAGCAGAGCACGGAAACGCTGTTTACCTTCCTGCCGGAGCGGTACCTATTTATCTGCTTGCACTTTGACGTGCTTTTGAACTGCTAGGTTGGCAGGAGCTGGGACTGAGCAACGGGAGCTCACCCTGTCGCGGGGATTCGAACTGCTAACCTTCTGATCAGCAAGTCCTAGTCTCTGTGGTTTAACCCACAGCGCCACCCGCGTCCCAGTCCTTCAGTTAACCTGGTCCTAAACCAGTTAATTACTGCTATGCAAATAAGTGGCTCCTTTCATTCTCAAACTAGTGCATTTTTTTTAAAAAAATTATCTTTATTGAGTTTATAAACAAAAATAATAATAAGAAAAAAGTAAATACAAATAGCAAAGAATTTCCCATAAACGAAAAAGGTAGCATTTAAGTTTACAAACTGCTCAAATCTATGTTCCAGTTCACTTAATCGTAGCTGCCTACATATAATTTAATATGCCTATATACAATGTAACAAACAGAAATAAAAAGAAATGTGAATAATTTCGATTAACTCCATAATACTCTTCCTGCTGTAAGCATTAGATCTAAACATCGCCTTCCTACTTACCGTATATCCAGTATTTAATTTCGTCATTATTGTTTTTTGTATTAATACCATATGTTGTTATTTTGTAATGTCAGAATCAAACTAGTGCATTAAATGACCTTGTAGTTCTGGTGTTCAGGGAATGTAGCACATCAGTGCCCAATTATCCAAGGGACATCCTCAATGACTAGGTAATCAGTAGAATGCAAAAATTGGAGTGATATTTCCATATGGTTACACAGATACACCTGGGTAATGATCAGGCTATGTTTGAAAAGGAAATAGGAAGTTTTGAGTATTCGAGTTAGCACAGCACATACATTCCTGGCAAAATTTTGGTATGGAAAGAAGGGAGGAGACAAATTCTTCCTGATTTTCTAACATGCAAATTGTCTTCAAAATACAAAACAACGGCCTCAACTGGATCCATTTAACCCCCAATATTTTGCTGCAAGTGTTTGTGCCTTAACCCCCCCCCCACAATTCCCCATTGTGTTAAATAACTGTCCGTCACTTAAGCTCTGCCCCCCTTGCTGCGTAGGAGGTGAACGTTTCTCTGAAGGGGATTTAACACAGTTATATAAAATAACAGAAAGCCATCCCGAATTGCTGCAGATAGATTATAGCTTCAGCTTTTGAGCCTCTGCTAGTGTCAGTGGAATATTCCTGAAAATGATTATAATTATGAGACACATAAATAAATGTAAATACTGGCAGTTATTAAGTCAGCATACAGAAACATAAGCAAACCCTGAAACAAAAGAACAGCAGGAAGCAGCAAGCAATGGAGTGAAAGTGTCCTAGTTAGACCATCCAACCTAAGCAATGGAAGATGTCAAAAATTCCTTGAAGTATGGATCCTCAGGACTGAATCTTGAGGGCTCAATCACATGAGAGCTCACTCCCGCTGCCTCCACAGATCCTGCAAGATGAACCAATAAATATATGTGAAGACGTCACCTCGTGCCCTCTCCCAAAGCCTTTGAAATGCTGGGGTCAGCTGAAAGGCCAAAGCCCATGTTGCTTGGTAAACCAGACGAAGCAGAACCATTTTGACTTAAAATCTGATGCAGCCCTAGTGCCTCTTGCAGATTATGCATCAGATTACGTGTCAGTTTATTTTCCAGCCACAGTGATCTGCCTAAGTCCAGCATACCAATTCTCTAATATAATCAGGACTCCCCCCCCCAAGCTGGAACTTGCTGGAACTTAGTTCCTGCACCGCTCAGGTGGGTGCCATTGCCATTCTAAGAGAACAAGGGAGGTGTTCATGGTGAGTTCCGGCACCTCTCTTTTCTAGAAAAATTGCACTGAATATAATGATGATAATAATTTGCTAGTTCTAATGATTCTCCCCACTCCCTGCTTGTGCAAGAGATTGCCCCCAGCCATCTGGAGCAGACTGGAGGTGGGGGCAGCAGAGACTGAAGCAGGGCAAGGAAGGAGAAGCCCTGCTAGGTGAGCAGACATCGCCTCATGCAGTGGCGGAGCTTCATGCTCTGGCACTGAGGGGGGGCGGAGAGCAGGCGGGGGCGGGGCTGGCTGCGATGGCACCCCACCGGGATCGTGCTGCCAGGGGCGGTGCAATCCCCCCACCCCCCTTTTCCTCCGCCAGTGGCCTCATGTTGCATTGGATCCCTCTCATTATTTGTTGGTGCTTTAATTGTGGTGTTTTGTATTTTAAACATTTGCTTGCTTTGTAAGCTGTGTAGATCATTTTTATTGATGGGTGGACATGTCGCACATATATATGCACAACATGTCTACCCATCAATAATGTATGTGTGTGATCCAAATAAGTTCTGATCTAAGTAGAGCCACTGAAATTAATGGGTCTAAGTAAGTCATGTCTAAGGGACGCGGGTGGTGCTGTGGGTTAAACCACAGAGCCTAGTGCTTGCCGATCAGAAGGTCGGCGGTTCGAATCCCCGCGATGGGGTGAGTTCCCGTTGCTCGGTCCCTGCTCCTGCCAACCTAGCAGTTCGAAAGCACGTCAAAGTGCAAGTAGATAAATAGGTACCGCTCCAACAGGAAGGTAAACAATGTTTCTGTGCGCTGCTCTGGTTCGCCAGAAGCGGCTTAGTCATGCTGGCCACATGACACGGAAGCTGTCTGTGGACAAACGCCGGCTCCCTCGGCCTATAGAGCGAGATGAGCGCACAACCCCAGAGTTGTCTACGATAATAATAATAATAATAATAATAATTTATTATTTGTACCCCGCCCATCTGGCTGGGTTTCCCCAGCCACTCTGGGAGGCTTCCAACAAAGATGAAAAATACACTAAAGTGTCACATATTAAAAACTTCCCTGTACAGGGCTGCCGACTGGCTACGACTGGACCTAATGGTCAGGGGTCCCTTTACCTTTACCTTAAGTCATGTCTATTAATTTCAGTGGGTCTGTTCCAAGTAGGGATAGCATTGGATACAGGCTAATAATAATGTAGTGTGACTGTTTTCTTGCTTTACCTCACTTCTCCCAGGAAGCTCCGCTGAGCCTCAGAACATTGGACCTGTAACTCTGCTTGGGAATCAGCAGATGCAGAGGTTTATTAGAAAGGCGATAGCCTTATTCCAATTCCACCAGACTCAAGTGCATTTTTAATTACATTACCACAAAGGTGCAGAAGTCTGTATGAGACAAGCCTCTTGAAGATTACAGCTCACCACTGAGACTGGATGCTTTTAAATGCTCCTGCAATATGCTCACGTATTTTTTCATGCAAAAGAGAGAGAGGTCAGCAGGATTCCTGCCTGGAGCATCTACTGATACCAGTTTTCTCAAGTTGCATTAGGCACTGCGGAATATTGCTCTCTCTCTCTCCCTCCCCCCCCCCTTCTGTGATGAGGTTTTCTTGCTAACGTTTATGTCTATGTCGGTTCTAAAGAAAAGAATTTCACATTCTAACTAGGCTCCCACATAGGAAATGTGTCAGGTTACTAAGCGTAAGAGGCTTTAGTCTAGGCAGGGAGGGAGAAGAAAATGTGTTGCTCCCTTAAGGAAGAATAAAATTAAAAAGAGGTCAGTGTGACTTGAGTAAAAGTGTGTCATTTAAATAGGAAAGCAAGAGAGCAAAGGAAGAAGAATAGCTGAGGAAATGTTGCTTGCATAATTCCATAAAACTAACCTAGGGCAGCTCAGAGGACCAATGACTGAGGCAGGAAGTGATGGCATACCCCACCCCAGTATGTTGGTGGAATGGAATTGTTATTTTTCTGGTCATTTTGTCATTCTGTGTCCAGGGCTGTGTGGGGATGGCTGGACCAGGGCTGGGGATTCTGTGGCACCCCAGATGTTGCTGGACTCCAGTTCTCACCAGCATCAGCCAAATGGTTAGGGAAAATGGGAGTTAGAATCATAGAACTGTAGAATTGGACGGGACCACGGCGGTCATCTAGTTCAACCCTCTTCAAGGCAGGAATCTTTTTGCCCAACTCGGGGCTTGAATCCACGACCTTGAGATTAAGAGTCGCATGCTCTACCGACTGAGCTAAGACCTGGAGGGCCACAGGGTTCCCAATGAATAAACCAAGTTGGTATTTTGTGCCAAAACATGCAGAATTCTACAAGGTGCAGAACATAAACTTTGCATACATGACGAATAATCCTTCTGTGCTGTTCGAGCTTGTCATGGAAGCATAAAGCCTGAGGGGCACATTCCATTGTGAGCAACCTTCCAGCAGCCACATGCCACCGGTGGGCAGGGACAGAGGTTAAAAAACAGGGCGGAGCAAAGTCTGCACTTTTTAAAAGCTTTGCAGAGTAGGCTGTTTTCTGCACATACTCTCTCACCTTGCTCCCACGTTTCACCCAGGCAAGCAAGAGTCACCACCAGACTTCAGTGACATATTCCAGCCAGGCAAAAACACTCAAGGAGGGTGCAAAGTGAGGGGAATGTCCTGGGGAGAAGAGGGTATGTGGAACCATCCAGTCAGCATGAAAGGAAATTTATGGCTACTGAATCTTCTCTCCCTTTGTGCCAATTGGAGCTATTCACAGTGAAATAAGGTGACTCATCCCCTCGGGATTGGCTCCTAGCCCCATGTTGGCAGTGCCATTTTTGCCAATCTCCCATAAAAATAACAATTTAAAAATGGCCTTTTTGTGATTTGCCCATGTTGTAAACAAAATCTGCCCTTTTCCCCTTACACTTATGAACATTACCATATATCTAAGACCTCAAAATTCCTATCACACCCAAAAAAAAGCTCAACAACCTTTCATTCTGGATTTGAATTGTTTGAAATATGGCAACCCTACAGCAAGGGACACAGGTGGCACTGTGGTCTAAACCTCGGAGACTTTTGGGCTTGCTGATGAGAAGGTTGGTGGTTCGAATCCCCGTGATGGGTTGAGCTCCCATTGTTTGGTCCCAGCTCCTGCCAACCTAGCAGTTCAAAAGCATGCCAGTGCAAGTAGATAAATAGATACCGCTCCGGTGGGAAGGTAAACGGCGTCTCCATGTGCTTCTCTGGTTTTGCCAGAAGCGGCTTAGTCATGCTGGCCACATGACCCTGAAAAAACTCTGTGGACAAACACCAGCTCCCTCGGCCTGTAAAGTGAGATGACCGCCACAACCCCAGAGTTGTCTGCGACTGGACTTAACTCTCAGGGGTCCCTTACCTTACCTTACATCAAGGGACAATTTTCCTGCTTCCACCAAAGCTAAGAATTTAGGAACATTGAAAACACAAGGTGCTTCAATTTCCAGAGAATAGTATGTACATTTTCTTATGTACAATGGATCATCAAGGAAAACACAACTGAAGTCATTCAAAAATAAGATATTGGAGCTCTCCAAATCATTAGCATATATACATGCACAGAAAACAGTAGATCTAACTGAAAGGCAGCACATGGAGAACTGCATTGATCATTGCAATGCAATTACTACTACTACTATTACTATATAAGTATAAGATTAAAACCTTAGAAAGGGGCATGGCTATAACTAACACGAAGGGACATGTGCTTCTGAATTTGCCACCACATTACTTTCCTTAACAAGCAACAGATCACTGGATTCTTTGGCAGAAGCCTTGACTGTTAGTGGTATGAGAGCATGCTAAATGTATTTTGTGTGGATGACACCCAAGATTTTGATTCTGGAACTGTCTGCATGCAAAGTTCAGGCTTCTCCCTTATGTTCATCCCTAGCAAAGTTGAGACTGATAGAGGTGGTGTTGTGATTTTATAAGCAAGCAACTCGGCCACTTTCTGCAGGTGTGATAGACTTCTCAGCCATTTAGACCAGCTTGCCTGGGGCGTCTGCTTCCTCCTAATAAGCCTGACACGATGTTTAGTTGCCTCAACGTCAGTGCTGTAAAACTGAATGACTGTGAATTGGGAACATTTGCTACGCTCTCCACAATCCCAGTGGGTCGTTAGCTTTTTCTTTCTTTCCCCTCCAAAGATCTTAATTAAAGACTGCTTCCTGTTAATTCTCTCTAGCAGCCTATTAGAGCACCCTGGAGTTTAACTGTGCTCTGCTGTCAGTCTTTAGAAGTGGGGCAGTGCTTTCTTCATCAATATAGTTATGTGCATGAATTACTGCTTTGATCTGCATGTGGGCTGTGTTTTCTTGGAATCTAGTCATGATCCACATATAGGGATTTGGGTGCACTGATGTGAAACCATTCAAGTTTTATACAGTTCAGTAAGTTTAGGGTCTTTTCTTAATGTGGATCTGCTTTAGAAAAGAGCAGCTTCCAGGCTGTCCAATTCTACCACTGACCAATCATTGCTCTTCTGCTGTAAGTGGCATGTGGAATTGAAATGGACATGGGTGGCCCTGCGGTCTAAACCACAGAGCCTAGAGCTTGCCGATAAGAAGGTTGGCGGTTCGAATCCCCGTGACAGGGTGAGGTCCCGTTGCTCGGTCCCTGCTCCTGCCAACCTAGCAGTTCAAAAGCATGTCAAAGTGCAAGTAGATAAATAGGTACCGCTCCAGCGGGAAGGTAAACGGTGTTTCCGTGCGCTGCTCTGGTTCGCCAGAAGCGGCTTAGTCATGCTGGCCACATGACCCAGAAGCTGTATGCCGGCTCCCTCGGCCAATAAAGCGAGATGAGCAACCCCAGAGTCGGCCACGACTGGAACTGGTCAGGGGTCCCTTGACCTTTACCATAAGATAACAGTTTTTATGTGTGGGTATTCCTCGGGCTCCACCATAACTTGTTTATTGAGTATTCATTATGATTTGTTTAGGATAGATTATGTACTGCTTGATTAGGAATGGCTTAGAAAGTGGATTCCCATTTAGTGCTGTGCTTACCTAATTCACACATTATGAAAACATCTGAGACCTGAAACACAGCCATCCTTCAAAATCCGCTCTTCTGCGAATGTTGCAGTGCAGTTCTCCAGCCAAGTAATCCATACAAAAAAACACATGTGCAAATGTGCATGTAGCAAGTGCATTATACAAATGACATAAACCAAACATTTAAATAAAATAACTTTTAGATCCCTCTCCTCTTTGGCATCCTTCAAACTGCCATTTATTGCTTTGATGTTTGGTTCATGTTAAAATGAATCTGCTGCTTTCTCCACCAAAATAGAAGAACCTCAAAGTAGCATACAACAAAATTTAAAATTACAATAATAGAAAACAGCCAAAATAAAGTAATGCAGTTAAATAATGAAAATATCTGAGCCACGGGGGAAAAATGTGAATAAAATCACAGGCAGTGTGGTGAAAGTGCTTAAGAGTGTCAGGCTTAAAACATGAGAGACAGAAATTCAAAGCAAAAATGTGTGAATCAGCCCTTGGACTGCATATCATCCATTGTTTAGTAAGCTCTAGGGATCAAAAGTTTCTATCCCTGGAGCTCTTTGCCTTTGATCTTCAGGGGCCAAAATGTCTAATGCCAAAAATGCAACCTACATAAACCAGACGGGCTTATATCGCACACTGAAAACATCTTTAACTTTTATGAACACCATTTGAATGTTTAGGAAGCTGCCTTATACAGAGTCAGACCATTGCTACATCTAGCTCAGTACTGCATGCACTGACTGGCAGTAGCTTTCCAGGGTTTCAGACAGAAAGTATTTTCCCAAGCTCTACCTGGAGATGCTGGGGATTGAACCTTCTGCACCCAAAGCAGCCCCCCCTTTCGTTCTGTCAGCTTTATGATTACTTGCAAATCTCTCATTTTGGAGGAGCTTAGCACATCCTTTTCAAAAACAGCATGTGCAATTTCTCCTCCTGCATCTGCTGTGAAAGAGCTTTCGAGTGTTCTGTAGTTGGGTTGCCACCTCCTCTCACTGCCAAAATGCAGAGGTGATAATGATGTAGGTCATTGTGGCCTTCCTGACCTACATATGTCAATGCTCTTCTGGGGTGTTACTCACAGTTACAGATGTAGAACAGACTGAATGCTGTTCTACATCTGGACCTATTATCAGTTAATGAAAAGTCTATTTGTGTATTACCAGGTTATATAAAATAGAGAGCCTGTGAAATACAATAGTATATTCGCTTGTTCCACTCTTCACCACAGTACTGGACTGAATTTTCCATTCAACAGCATTCCATTTTAAACCAATTTCCACCCAGAAAAGAAGGGCTTCCCCCTTCTTATGCAGACACGGTATCTATCCCAAGATCTGGCCTGAGGCAGATGATGTAGAAAGTTTGCTGAACCAAAGCAGGCCTGGTTCTGTTTCTGTCTGGAAGGTAGATTGCTGGATAACTCCTATGGATGCTGCCCTCAAGTTCATAAAAGAGAGAGAGAGAGAGAAAGAGAGTGGGGGGGAGAGAAAGGATACAATTTTCTCTATTTTTGATATTCAGTTGATAAATTCCAATAATTATATCGCCAAAGTGACACCACCCACATAGTAGGAGAAGGTATCAGCTACCTCGCGGAAGCTTCAAGGTTTGCAGAAGTACAAACAAATATTTCAAACATTCCCACCCATGGCCATAACACAGCCCAATTAAGAAGCTATAGAATGCTGAGTGACTGTCAAGAATGGGATTGGAATAGAAAAATGGGTGAAATGGAATGGAGTGGCTGGTATCTTGGACACTTGGTGCTTTACACTGCAACATTTTTTTAATAGACCCGTGTTATAGACCTGCCTTTCTAAAACCAGTAGAACCAACAATGGGAGCAACATGCCCCCCACCAATTCACAACAAAATGGAAGTGGAAACAGATTTCACCACTGACACAAAATAAGGCATGCTTAGAATAAAGTAGGGAAAATATAGCAGGCATCCTATTTCGATCAGGGAAGATGCACTGTACCAAAACACCCATAGTTCCTCCACTGCACAATCATGAGTAGAGGTTTGAGTAAAGTGAGAAGGGAGTTTGGGAAAAACTGTTGTGTTGGCTTTCTGGTGTTAGTTTCTGTGGTGTCATCCTTTACTAACAATCCCTTAGTTCTAGTTACAGGTAGGTAGCCATGTTGGTCTGCCATAGTCAAAAAATAATAATAATAAAAATCCTTCCAGTAGCACCTTAGAGACCAACTAAGTTTGTTATTGGTATGGGAT